CCCAGGCCCATGGGGCGACATACATAAATCAATTTAAATCACACATCATACATAATATCTGATCATTTGTGATTCGGCATTTTGTTGGGTGATGGCTCCAGTCTTGGAAACCGAGGCTCGCGGACCAATATGCTGACCGCAGGGTGTGGGAGGGCGAGAATTTGTCTGAGGAGCCCCCGCTGCCCGTCTGTCTCGCCGCGTGGCAGATTGGGGCTTCAAGTGCTATAGGGGGCAATATGATGGTCCTAGATTCAGTACATAGTTATGGTACAGGGTATCGTAAATAGACATCAGAATGACATTGGTGTTTATTCAGTACTCAACTTCTTGCTGGGGATCAGGTTTCTGTTCTACTGTCAGTATTAGGCGTACCAAGGACCCATGTCGAGTAATTACATGGGAAGTACACAATCGACTGTAGTTGGCAGGAAAATTTAGGCTCACCTGCCTATTCTTGTGTGGCAATGCAGTTGTCAGAAGGTTTCGAACGCCCTAAACCCCAAACGCTAAAAGCGCATTTAGATTTCAAACCCTCGGACGCATCGTGTTGAATCCGGAAGGCAGTCCAATATCCAGGTTCATAGCACAGATATCTTGCTGAAATGGTTGCTAGTAGACTTGTATTACAGCCAGGCGTGTGTTGTTAAGAGTTCCATTAAATCTCGTAAGGTTTGTATTAGCCTATAGTATTAGTTCATTTTCCTGGCTTTCTAGAAGTAACTCACGCCTGTTGGTAATACAAATGTACTAGAAATCTGTATGGATAAGCATAAATTTCTTCAGGCTTTCTAATGACTCTATGGAATCTTAGACTTACGCTATTACGGTTTAACAGTGGGCGCCTGTCGTGTCCTCCGTTCATTCACTCACTCTGTTCACTCATTCACTTTATGTTTAGAAAAAGGCGTAAGCGTAATTTGATTTAATTTTGTGAACTGAATGAGGAGCAAGAAGAAAATGAATTAAATTAGCGCACGACAACACAACTAGAAAATAAGAAGATAATAATGTAA